TGTTCGTGACGTGTATGGTGACTCCAGTTGAACCAAAATCTTATAAATTGTTCATGAGTGTTTTAAGCAGTTCAAAAAACTCGTAGATCGTGTTTAATCAGGTATAAAAGCACTCGGCTACGCCTCGTGCTTTTATACCTGATAAAACACTCCTACTCGTTTATTAAACACTACTAAATCAAGGTTTTGAATCATCGTGACCGCATGGCAGAAGATTAATTCGCTTGGGTTGTCAAAAACTTGATAAAACCATAGTATAAAAGACAGTAAATATATAAAGACCAAGTATCAAGTCCAGTGCTTCGGGGTCACTCAAGCGAATTCACTTTTAAAGGAAACCATGTTTCCTCCTCATAAAAGCCAAACATATTTTGTACCCTCGTACGATCTGGTACGAGTTCTTCACGATCTCTATACGAGCACTTTTCGATCTCTTACTGGCATTTTACGATCTTTCACGAGCACCTTAAGATCTCTTACAAGCCCTTTTTTATTTCTTAGGGTCTTTTACTAGCACTTTAAGAGCACATCACGATCTTTGACGAGCACTTCACGATCTTTTACGAGCACTTTTAGGACTAAACATTCCTTAACTTAGCTAAGTTGAACGCATCCATTGAGGTAACTGTCGTTATATACAACTGATATCTAGCGCTGGATTTTGTGACTGACTTATTCCTGCTTACAAATAAACAACTTCCACTTTCTTCCTTTCATCTTTAGTAAGCAGAGTCTCTTCATTTTCCATTCTGAAGGATTCCTCGGCCTGTTTCTTTGGGTTGCTTGATTTACGTTTGATAAACAGATAGACGACCAAGATGCACAGCGCTAGAATTATCATCAAGCTTAGCGTCACACCGATAGCTATGGCTTTTGTTTTATATCCTTTTGAATCAAGGAGATGTTCCACGGCACCTGCAATATGAAAAATACTGATTTTGTTCCACCCTTAAATAGACCTAATTACCTTCGTATGTAAATTGACCATTTTCAAACCATGTGATGTTTACATGGTTTCTCTGTTACTTTGAAACGTTTTCACATCCACACGAATATGAACAAATAAATTTCAGAAAAATAAAGGAACAACTTTCTAGAGAGCATCATGTAAACATCACATAATACGCCTTTTGCAACAACAAGTCACGTAACCCTAACCCCCGTAAAGAGACGCGTTGTGTCAACATGAACACCAGAAATGGAAAGAGCACCTCGATATTAGTAAGAAGGCAAAGTTTCAGCTTATAACATGCAACACAGGAGAAATGGCTTTCACATTCCCATACAAATCCTTATAAAATATTCGGTTTCAAATTCAATGTCATTTCTCCTATAGTCAACGTTATAAGCTAAAACTTTGCCTACTAATATTGAGGTGCTCTTTCCATTTCTGGTGTTCATTTTGACACAACGCGTCTCTTTACGGGGGTTAGGGTCACGTGACCTGTTGTTGCAAAAGGCCTATTAGGCCTGTAAAACTGATAAAATGATAATGACTAGCAGGTAGTGAGTTACGACTGCGTGGGTGTGTCGAATATAACAAGTGAACTAGTAGGAAACTTAAACACTGGGTGAAAAAGATTGAGAATAGTAATGACATGCCAGAAGTTAGTTCCTTCGTCGGAGTTAAAGAAGATTTTATTTTAGAGTGATTATTTCTTGAGTGGGAAACTATATGACAAATTCGTAGTCGTACTGTAGTTGTACCGTATCAAGCTTAATCATCAGTAATCGTATACTTACCAGAAGCAAGCTGGCAAGAAGGTGGTGCATCAGTCCATGTTCCATTACTCTTAATACAAAGTATTTGATCAGCACCAACCATCTTGTAGCCCTTGATGCAGGTAAAATGAGCAGTCACGTGATGTTCTGTTTCATTATACGTCGTATTTCCATTGAGAATAGTTACTTTCGAACATCCTGGAAAAATAGAATTTGTCAAAATGAGTTTCATTGATTTAAGGTTTTTACGTGTACAAGTCGACGACGTGACGTCTCGGTATCTTGTTAGAAACCATAACAAAATCCCACGAAAGCTTAATTAAATAAAGTTAAATAAACAACTTCTATAAAACCTCGTATTCTCTCGTGCTGAGCTGTTAATCTCAATCGACGTCTTTACTGTAAAAAAAAAGCTTTATTTCTCCCTCGGACGCCCCATGATAGCTAGTGATCCAAGATGGCCGCCGTATCGCCAAAGTAGTCCATTGCAATACTACTACACCACCCTTGAATCCCCAATGATCATAATCCATGGTAACATCATTAGACTCTTACTTTTTCTGCAGTAAGGTGTTGCACTACTCCAAGTACCATCCTCCCTACACACGATAGAATCTGCACCAACAAGATCATACCCTTCTAGACACTCAAACAACACCTCAGAACCGGCAGTGGGTAGTCGGCCACGTGACCTTGCTTCTCCGTTTTGGATCTTCGTTTCCACACTTGGGCATTCTAATATCAAATAGTAAACATTTGCATAATTTCCAATTGAGCCTTTTTCTAGATGGAAATTGTGACATTTCTTTTATATTTTTAATGTTAGATATTTTTGAAAAGGGTCAATATTAAAGACTTGAGCTAACATACTGGTCACGTGACAATGATATACCTGTGCACACTGGTCATGTGACAGTTGGTGTGTGTTTGTCTGTATCCAGGTGATGTAAGAAAAATTGTTAGCCAATCAGAATCGAGAAAATTGCAAAACTGAGGTGTCACTTGTCCTTAAAATTATTGATTTCCAGGCCACCAAATAAAAAATAACGTTCCTAATAAGATTTTGATAAACAGCGACGCAATTATTAATAAGTTATATATTTTTATTGCAATAACGGGCAAATTCTTTTATTTTTCACTGGTCACTTTTAGCAAGTTTCATGATACTTCAGTTCTGCAGTGACGTCATTTCTACGTCACTATTTCAGATCAGCTGGATACACTAGTTATTTGACACCAATGTGTGCTTGTCAATCACGAGATATGGTCGCAAGATATGGAACAAACATTAACAAAGTCCAGTGGCGGATCTAGGGGTGGGTTTGGGGGGTTGCAATTCCCCCTATGAGAGCCATCGTGATTTATTATTATTATTATTATTATTATTATTATTATTATTATTATTTTCATGATAACACCAATAGCATCGCGAGTGGGTGCCGAACGCATTTCGCTCGCTTTTTTTTCTATACGCCGTGTGTGGGACCTGAAACAACCATGCTCATTATCATACGACCTTTGGGAACCCTGTGCTACTTTCCCGCCAAACAAATACCTCAATCAATGCTACAACCCCCCCCCCCCCCCCCCCCCTTTGAACAAATCCTGGATCCGCCCCTGAAAGTAAGCCAGTTAAAATAAAGATTGCTGTATCCCTGAACCTAGTAACAATGGTGAAGCACCTTTTGAACTTTAGAACAATCTCCTTTTATTTGGACTCACTAACTCGTCATGCCATGTGTTCTGGCTTGCATCTAATGCGCATGTTACACAGGAATCCCACTAAGTATTCAACAAAAATAATTTCTACCTTTGGCTTCGATAGGAAGACAACTAGGTGCTGTTCCGTTCCATTCTCCTTGGAAACACGAAACAATGGACGATCCATTGAGGATGAACTCAGGCTGACATCTGTACCAGTAAGTGATGCTTCCTTCTGAATCATTTCTTTCGTAAAATCCGTTCGCAAAGTTTGCATCCAAAGGAATACAGCCTTGATGAACGAAAAAAACAAAACAAGATGTAAACGAGTGCACTACTTGCAACCATAGACCGTATTTGAGATAGCTAACAGGATGCATTGTGGTCTAGTTTCAATACAATCATATTTTGTTTATCATGTCTTATATGGTATTGTTTGTGTGAGAAGTGGTAACTTCGGGATCCCTGTGCCGCCCTACTCGTGTTCCCTGGCACTAGCCAGACCACGAGTGACGAGAGCTGCCATGTTTTGTTTTTTCGTTTTCTATTTCAAGTAGCATATTTCTATTACAATAGCGAGTTTCTACAACCACAGGGTAAGTCTTATTTGTAATCGGTCTTTAGTACAAGCTCAGACTCATTAGAATTTTGTATAATGGTCCCTTTCACAGTTCCCTGCGCCATCTTGAAAGCTAGCCGTGCCTTTACATCGAAGCGAGACGAACAGTGACCTTGCAATGATAGCGGAGACATGTGAATAATTGTCCAAGGTGTTAAAAAAAGGTCTCTGTCATTGCAAGCTCACCGTTAGTCTCGCTACCATGCAAAGGCACGGCTACCTTTCAAGATGGCGCAGGGAACTGTGAAAGGGACTATTCTAGGCCATTACTGCTGTTTCGCTTAATAAAACCGTGGAATCAAAGTAACCTGTGTCACATTTGTACTGAAGCTAGACCACAATGCAGGCTTATTGAAAATATGGTTGGATAGGTTCCCGAGTAACTGAGGTGCAAGAAGCATCATGGACGGTCCGCCTTGCATTGGGAACATAGTTTTCGCCTTCTGTAACCTCGGTATCACTTCGTTTTCATATTTTTTTCTCGTAATGTATAAACGTCATTGCAGGAACGTTGTCACTTAAAAATAACAAATAGAGGTTTTGCACCATCACGTGTCCATGCCCATAATACGGCTTGGGCTGCCTGTGGATGGATGGTAGAACAATAAAATCCCATTACTCTTGGGAATTTAATTCTTTCTCATGTAAAACGATTGTATTGCTCCTGCCATCTAACAAGGCTGCTGTCACGCGATGGTGCAAAACCTCTATTAAGGAATATGAATTGATTATTTTTTAAGCAAATTTGGTGTAATTATTTCACTATTTTGAAGGTAGGTATAGACTGACATAGTTTTTGATATTACCTTGTTGGTATATACGAAAACGGTTATTTTTATTTTATGTGCATGTAAGTTTTTACATTAGCCAATACCTTTAGTTTCTGTAATATTGATAATCTCTTGTAGCTGTTGAATGCTGTTTTTAGTCACGAGTCCAATATTAGTATCACCTGTTGCTTGAACATCGAATAAACACTGCACGCTATTACCACAAGCAGAACGAGCCTTTCTCTCTAACACTTTATCCTCAAACACCATGTTATTCATGTCCACGAAGACTGGAAGGAAGTTTGGGTTTGAGTAGGTTTGATGACTCTTCCCTTGTCCATATGTGAATAGAGACTCGTGAGCTTGTGTTGCCCCTTCGTAATAAAGAACAAAACAGCATGAGGAAGCTGTCGCACACAGGCAGTCATCTTGATGTTCATGGATTTGTACGTTAATTGTATTATCAATTTTAGCAAATATCTGACGACGAGAAAAATCTGACCGCGGTAAAAAAATATGACAACGCCGACAAAAAAACTGACGATGCCATACAAATCACAAGTCTGACTCTGCATTACGAATCTGAAAACCAAGAAAAAAATTAACTAAGAGAAGGAATCCGCGCGCCCAATCATGAGCACTCTTTGATGCTATTTTTAGAATGCATACTGCTCGCGCTCTAAGCTGATTGCTCATGCTTTCATTTTCATTTTCATYTTCTCTTGTGAAAATGCCATACGCATCTCAAAACGCCATACAAATCTTAAAACGCTACAAGAATCTGAAAATACCGTTACAAATGTGACAACGATATACAAATATAACAAAAACACCGACGCAAATCCACAAATATCTGGGTAACGCCTTCAAGACCTGAAAATTTACGGAATTTAAGGAGATTTTTATAAGTACGTGCAGAAATGTTATGCCAGTGAGAAGGAATTTTGCACAAAACAGCAAAAAAGTACCGTGACATGGACGAATATGTTTATGTGGGCGAACGGCCACACAGGAAGCAATTGGATGACAAAAGATTACGAGGGCTGCTAAGATTAGAAGAGGCCACAGAACAAATGTAGGCCTATTTTATTTATTTTCAGTATTTTATCATAAAACGCCCTGAGAAACGGTCTCAACATTAATTAAACCCAACATTTGTCCCAACATTTAGCCACAATTTGACCAACATTTAGCCAATACACCATTGTTTTCAGACCATGATAAATTGTTCCCCCAACATTCTACACAACAAATGTTGGCTTACATCTGGGRTGAAATATTGAGACCATTTACCAGTGCCTTTGCCGTTACTTGTAGTTCCTACGATCACTAGACTAAATCAATATTTTCAGCGTTGATTCTTCATGAAGTGAATAGTTGAATGGTAAAATATTTTCATATGATTTGAGTGATGCATCTTGGAGATATCAAAGTTTACACTTCCAACAAGCTAATGAGTGTGACGTCAAAGGAGGCTTTATTGAATATACAAAACTTTTCTGGGCAGTACAATATCCTGTATAAGACATCATTGTTTTACTCGTSGTTTATTGATAGGTTATTGCAAATTTGTTTTTTTCATAATAATYAGTGTTTCAATTTACAAATGATGACAAATAAACTAAAATGCCTCCTATGACATCMAATCATTTACATATTAGRAGTATAAACCTTGATAGCYCCAAGATGCATCACTCCAATCTCATAATTTTTTTTWACCATTTMTCTATTCACTTCATGTAGAATCAATGCTGAAAATATTGATTTAGGTGTCATAGGCACTTYATACWTACATTTAAGACCAAAGTCGTAATGTAAAGACTTGGAATTCGATGATGTGTTTAAGAACGAGCCATTTGGAAGAAGGAATTCTTGATTCTTGTTGTCATCCCAGTATCCCAGTAAACCACTCGTATAACCTGTAAGTAGAAATTGGCATCTCGTGTACTATTGGTTGGAACTCGGGGTTCTTAGTAATAAAGAACATGGCGGATATGATGTTATGCGAAAACGAGGAATAGCCACTAAATAGAGACTATTTCTACATTTGATTTATTCATTGGATAAATACAAGACCTTTGCATTGCATTGCTGCAGAACAATGATCAGTTAAAAAATAAATCACYTTATTTAAGTGTCTAGTCGTTMTAGCGCTTTCGCACTAATTGGGGACACTTTTCGCTCACACGCACTACCACTACATTTAATATTCTATGCACGCAGCACTCAATTCACATGTTGATTTTTACGGAGGGAGGAAACCGGAGAACCCGGAGAAAACCCTCGTAGCATAGGAGAGAAGACACATCAAACAAACTCAATTCACATGTGGCGACCGCAGGGCTCGAAAACAAGCTACCCGACCCGTTGGACCCGTTTAGCCGCGAACGCCACCCATGCTACCCACAACTTACGTTTAAAATATTAACTTACGTTTAAAATGCTTTGGCATCATAACAGTGAACTGCATAAGAGTGGTGAATCCTTCAGCAATAACAGCTACTCCAGAATGGAAGATAGCGGAATACTTCGTGTTATTTCCTTCCTTTATTATCATAACGTTCTTAAAATCGACTGTTTGTTCGTCATCGAAATTCTCTAGCTGTCCATTCACAACCACGTCCAGAAACCCTCGGCCATTGAGGCGAATCTAAAGATGACACGCAACATTATAATAAAGAAAAAAAAACCCATTAAGCCTGGTGCACAACGCAAACGCAAACTCGAACGCAAGTACAAACGCGAACGAAAAGGCAAAGTCGAATGCAAGGGCAAGCAAAATAACGTGTGAACTACAGCAATGCAAACGCATGGAATGTAATCTTTACAATATTGTAATTGCTTTTAAATTTGCGTTTGCGTTTTAATGTGTGAACCGGGGAAAACGCAAACGCATGCAAAAGTAACTGTTAACTACAGTAACACACACACAAGCAATTCTATGTGTGAATTATAGTAACGCAAACGTAAACGCAAGACCAAAAATGTTTTTGATGCGAACACGTTGGTACTATTGCGCTTGCAAATCTTAATTTGCTTGCGTTTCATGTGTGAACACTGCTTGCGCTTGCTTTGCATGTGTGAACCATACGTTTTTGTGCCATAAAGCCTGGATCACACTAGCGTCGTATTCGGAGTCAGAAGGAACATACACAGACACAGTAGTGTACTGATCATTAACAGTGCTTGTCTTTTTTCACACCTAGGCGATAAATGTAATTCTCCGTATGTTGCTTTCGATTCCGATTCCGACGTTAGCGTGAACCAGGCTTGATGGAGATGTTAGAGTACCTCTATTGTATCTGATCCGTTTTCTTTCATTGCAAAGGCTGTGTAGACAGTAGCTTTGATCTGTCTTCCATCCCTTGCAGGAAGTGGTTCCATTCTACCTTGTAAGTGGAATCCAATGGTATAGACTTTTAGCAGCGTGTATTCACCATATCCATTGAAAGTGTATTCAACACCGTCTAATGTTACCATGTGAGGATCACCCACTCCTGAAGCTGTTAATAAGAAAAACGATGTATATTAATCCAATTCTAATGCCATACAGTAAAGCTGATCTGAGAAATATATTAGCCAATCAGAATCCAGAAAATCTGTAAAACTAAGGTGTCACTTGACCTCTTAAAATTATTGATTTCCAGGGCACCAAATGAAAAAAATAAGGTTACTAATTAGCGTTTGATAAACAGCGACGCAATAATCAATACGTTATATATTTTTATTGCAATAACGGGCATATTTTTTAAATTTTTCATTGGTCAATTTTAGCAAGCTTCATGACACGTCAGTTTAGCAGGGACATCTTTTCTACGTCACTATTTCAGATCAGCTGGATATCGCTATATCGGAAAAGGATGAAGGGGCGAAAGGCGATTGTTTAGGTATTTAAGAAATGAATATAAAGACATTCTAATAGGACGTTTGCATGATGGCGTCATTTGACTCCCACTACCAATATGCTTTGCGGATTTTCTTTCTTGTTTAAATTTGTATTCCCTCATGAGAATAGTAAGACAATTGGTGCTGATTAACTGAACAAAAGAAAGTGTGCAAGGGAGTCTGGTAGTAGAGGTCAATGACGCCATCGTGCAAACGTCCTATTCCCCCACAGTGGCTTTTGGTTATGCAATCGCCAATCACCGTTCACCATTTGCTCCTTTAACCTTTGAAATAGCTGTAAACACGTTATAATGGAAAGTCCATTGAGTGCACAATAGAACTGCCAATGCCAATTTTCTCCCAAAAGTGTGAAATGAATCGTTCATTTATGYTGACCAACGGAAAATACCGGATTTTTCAGAAAAATGGTAAACCCTCTAGGAGTCTCATGCTAATCCATATAACTAATACAAGAAATCTGTTGCATAGAAAAATGGCCCTTGAATTGTTTTCCATTCTGATTATCCCTCCCCCACAAAATCTTTTCATTATGGGGCTTTTTGAGGTACGCTTCATCAGTCAGTTAACATTTCATGCTAAAATTAACGAGACGATGTCAGCAAGCGAAAAAGACGCCATGTCAAATTAAAGAAATAGAAAAAACGCGCGCGTGCTCTGTGCTGTTATAAAGCACGCGGGGATAGGTAGAAAAAGAGAGAAGTGTTTGGAGAAGCACGACGCGAAGCGGAGTACATCTCGACACTTCTCGAGTGTTCTGCCAATCCCCAAGTGCTTTATAACTCCACACAGCACAGTGAGCAAGTTTTTTATTTCTTTTATAAAATACAAGGGCGCGTGCGTGCTGTGTGCTCTCATAAAGCACGCGCTCCCAACCAATAAGAATGCGAGATTTATAGCAGTTATTTTATAAAAGTGTTTTAGCGTCCCTTAAAACAGCTTTATTTACCTGCTGCCGGGGGATCATAATCGGAGCCATCGTCATTKGGTCGTTTTTCAAAATATTTTTGACAATTTGGTGATAACAAGCAGCATTCGTGGAACGGCAGGATATCGTGAAAGTAATGGGTAATGTATGGGATTCCTGTGTCAATGTGTGCACGATTTAAGTGACCAGCGCCTGGCTTGCTGTTGAGTAAGTTTCCCTTATCATTGTAACAGCATTGCTGACCTGCGCCCTTTGAACTGGAAAAACATAAGATAAAACATTTCTCAACATTAATAAGTATTTAAGACAATAGACCTTATTCGTGGTGTGATAATGTTTTCCCAATTCAGCGTGACGAACCTCCAGGGGATTCATTTTCTTTTGTTTTTACTCTTTGAAAAATTTATGAATATCCCAAAGGATACGAATGTAATAAAGATGATATCCCGACGAGTTGCAAAACAATATCTCTTCATTCCCCCAGAGGTTTATCCGGTTCAATTGGGAAAACATTGTCACACCACGGATAAGGTCTATACAATAGAGGTTTTACACTATCACGTGCCGGCGCCCATAATGCAGTTTGGGCTGCCTGTGGTTAGATGGCAGAACAATAAAATCCCTTTGCTCTCGGGAATTGAATTCTTTCTCATATGAAACAATTGTATGTTTCCTGCCATAAAACATGGCTGCCGTCAGTGATGGTGCAAAACCTCTGACCTTTTTCCTGATACGGCGGCCATCTTGAAATATGATTGGTTGAAATACCATTTTAGAGGAGAGTATCTAAAACGCTCACGTCATTTTTTCCCGCGCGGTTTGGATTTTAACTTTCATAAGAAAAATCAGACAGTACTTTACGTTAACTTGTTATTTTAAAAAGAAGATATAAAACAGTTTTCAATTTTAGATAGTTTAATCTAAAACTTGGAATGCTGAGAACTCTATAGAAACTGCAAACCTCGCCAGGGAGTGGTTTCCTACGCTTCTCTCGTGCTCTCCTGTKCTCTCAGCATCCAAGCGTTTAGTTCAGAGTATCTAAAACGGAAACTGTTATATATTTCTCAATTTATTTTCACGTAGTTTACGACATGTGCTGCCGTATTGTATCACATCGAAAATCACCCGCCTTTGATTGCCCAATTCTCCCGAGCTAGTGCCTCATGTACAAAGCGCTCTAAGGTGCGCACTTTAGCCCCTCGGACTAGTAGAAACAGACGTGGAGGTCCGGAGAATCGAACGCCGTGGACCTCTAGCTCCGAAGGTCGCGCACTAGCCAACTGTCTCACTATCAATATTCTACTCTAAGTATTTTTGGATACACTCAATTGAAGAATCGTTGTCGGGTTCAGAAACATAGAACATAGAAGCTGAGACCGAAATGGCAAATGGGGAGTAATTAAGCGGTTTCGTSTACGCTGCAACCTATAAAAATGCGAAGCCCGAACGGCTCTTAAACGCAGGTCTTCTGAATACGCGTTTGGCATTCTAAACCGACTGCATGGATGGCGCAAATGAATAAATTWTAATATATTTATGTCATTTCCCATGTGCCATTTTGGTCTCAGCTTCTATGTTCTATGTTTCTGAACCCGACAACGATTCTTCAATCGAGTGTATTCATTTAATTATTCTCACTAGAAACTTACCTGGGCGTGATAGTTCGAAAGCACTGAGTAGCTTTTGGGTGGTACTTTTGGCATCYATCTTGATTCTTTTTATTACAAAATTCATCTGTTATGTAATTTCCTCGGTCAACCCTAGCTTGCAAAAAGGACTGTGGGCAATGCAGTAAAGTGTTGTCCTCTGTAAAATGTATAGTAAGGGATGTTAGTCMATTCAATTGTTTATCATACACTGATTGAACCATTCATTCGTATTGGTGGGATTTACTTGACGTCRTTTCMAGTCTCRTGCGAAATGTTCATCATGTAAATCGCATTTTTAAACATATTTCTTTCGAACTRAYAGCACATGGTGGTCASKGTKWRMACMMYWTKMARMRSAKAWWRWGAKWTWWARAKWTTTWT